GAGAGCAAAGGAGGCAGGAGTGGCAGCAACTATAAGTGCACCCTACTCCTCCCTCACTCCCCCTCCAACAGCAAGGGCACTTCCTGTGGCGGACGCCAAGAGCTCTGCCTTGAAAAAGGCAAGGAACCGGTTGCCCCTGCAGGAAAGCTCTCTTACTTGTGCACCTCCACGAAGGGAATTTCAAGAAGGTTGAAGAAGCCGCGCAACGACAGTAATGTAACTGCACCTTCCAAAACCTTCACGGAAGCCACCGTGAGACACCTCAAGGTTGCCAAAGAGAGTGTGTGTTCGGCGAGTCTTGGCCTACACCTGCCAATATAAAGGAGATGTCCTCTAGTGACCTGTCCACCTTCCTGGAAAGGACAGGATGGACGATGACCTAGAAGGACAACTCCTCGGGAGGATGTACAATGGGTCACATGTGGTCTAAGTGCTGTGGGCCTACACTCATCCTACCTACTCTACAAATACAGATGCACCACTGGAATCAATGAAGTCGCCCCGGACCGCGATTGAACATTTCATGTTCAATCGCATTGAACGCGATTGAACATTTCAATCGCGTTCAGTGATGCGGCGGCTAGACGGTTGTATTGAAGCCGAAGGAGGTCATTTCCAACACTTGATTTAGTGCAATTCGTTAGTCTAGATGTTAATGTTATTTAATAGTTGTTGTTATTGTTACATAATTAGTAATGAAAAATTGTAAAAATAATAATTTCCTAAAGAAACATTTAATTCCCCATATTATTCCTTGTGAGGTCCAGGGATATGCAATGGGGAATGATCCTCAATTTGGGTTATTACAGCAAATGCAAGTTTGAACAAAATAAAGTTGAGTTTAATTCATGAGTTTTTCAAATTCACTTCTAAAAGTACTCAAATTGATGTTTCAAATGTTGGGTTTTAATATTTAAAGGGATTTGTTTCTAATTCACATATTGGCAACAGCGCCTACACAATTTGAAATAATGTATACGTATCTAGATATTCTAACTTTAAAAAAGGAAAATTATCTTTATAAATCAACAATTAAGGCAAAATATAAATTATAGTTCAATACCACCTCCACAATCCACATAAACAACAGTTTTTTTGTTATTTATTTATATAGAGGAAGATAGGTTAGGTGCACAAAATGTCATATGTCACAGAATGTCTCGGGACTCGGAACATTAGTAAACAGAACAGCACGCCTCTGAAATATGCCATCTTTGTTTGTTTCGTACATGTAACAGATTCATTGTCCTTTATTAGCTATAACCGATGTTGCCAATTGGTGAAATAGAAACGAATCCCTTCAAATGTTGAATGCATTATTTCATTCCTCTTTTTTAATATTTGAATAATTTTTTAAAGTGAAAGGTTGAAATGATAAGTTTTAAATGCGTTGTTTTAGAGCTCTTTTATGAAAACTACTTGATTTTCGTCAGGAGGAACATTCCCCATTCGGTCGACTTTTTTTTCTTAAAAACTAAGCAAGATACGAAAAAAATTCAAAAGACAGAAAATTGAAAGAAATAATAACAATTGCACAAAAGTCAGTGGCGTACATTTTTAAGTCAAAAATATTCGTTCAAATCCCGCTCGAGACGCCACTGGACTTAATGAATTGTATCACGATCGGGCAAAATTAGCTCCTTAATGTTATAAATACCATTGCCAAATTACAACAAAATTAGGTAAAGGATATTCAAGATATTCACGAATGATTTTTTTAAATTTTTATTTCAACACCCTGTATCTTGAGAACGAAGGATTTGCGGACCCATGTTTATAGGAACATTTCGTCTTAAAATTAACTAAAAAATCGTCTGTTAAATTTATGGCACATACTTAATAACACCCTGTATAGCAGACTGTCATAATTTTTCTCATGCAGAATCATCCTCTGAATTTGGTCGCACTCATTCACTAACACCCTGGATAGGAGGAAAAAATGTGGGTATCGGTAGTGGATGAAACAAATAACAGTCTAAATGCTGGACGCCAGGTGCGGATGTGTGATTTACATCGACCTTATCTATTATAATCTCAATTATCAAAAAACTTCGAATTGTACTCTGAACCGTTTCAAAGTACAGTACATATGAATAGAACGCGGAGTTGGTAATTATTGCTTGGTGGTTTTTTTATAAATGAAAATAATGACGGTTATAGAAATACCCTTGAGTTTCATACGAATCTCTCGATGACGAAAATATATAACGCCTAATAAATAATTCGATTATTTATCGATGAATTGTGGGGAAAATGTTCGCTTTCTTATAATACAATCTCGTTTTATCCGTTTGTTATTGATTGCAAATTATAATGTTGGAATATTTATACATACTTAATAAATGATAATACAGAGTGCTCAAACGAAAACGGAATAGTCGTTATCAGAAACTTTGTTTATATTTTATAGAAACCCAAGTATCCGTCGATTTTTGATTAAAGGGGTATTCAATCAGTATATATAGCTGAGCCACTTGTTTACAGTACTATTGAAATTTCAAAATTCCGCCTAATTGTTTTGTGAAAAAATACATCTCAACATTTTAATTGTGCAAATTCATGATCATCTTTCAGTACTGGAAAATTGTAATCCTGTACCATCCTCTAGGACTAGGCAGTACGAGAGTGTGGAGTGGGAGAAGTAGTAGAAGTGAATAGTCACGACCCCAGATTTATCGTCCCTTGATTTATTATTGTCATGCTACCTAAAAAGTAATAAAATGTTAAAGATTTTGTTCAAAACGTTCTCGTACATTCCGAAGCTTTATCACTGTCATTAGATGTAACAGTAGGCCGTTAATCCTTCGCTTTGTGCCTTGATTGTTTGTCAGAATTCAGACTAACCTTTTTCGACAGTATTGGAGGGTGGAGTGGAAGAAGAGGTAATAATGAATGGTCTCCACGGTCACCATATTTATTGCCCCTTTGATATATTGTTGTCATGCTACCAAAACAGTTATACAGTGTGACCCATTTTTAATGGAAACACCCCCATAAAATTTGAAGTTGTAAATCGATTTTAATAATTTTTTTTTAAATGTCAAGTACTAAAAAGTCTACCTTGGGACAAAATTTGAAATGTTTATTAAAGTTTCAGGGCATACTACGATATTTTTTCTTAGTTGAAAATCGGGATTTTTTATTAGCGAGTTTTTTTATTGAAAAAATCACGACAACACTAGATTCAGAGTGCCTCTAAATAAGTGTGACCAAAATTTCATGAAAAAATATTCATTATTAACAAAGTTATGACAACTCAAAAATTCAAAAACTCACACAGCTAACAGTCACAAGATATAATTTTTTTTATGATTTCAACAATAAAGTGCCGCCAGATGAAAAAAAAACAACTAGCGTAAATATTTTTAATGAAAATAACGGAATTACATTCACACAATTCAACAAACAATGAAGCAAAAAAATTTAATAAACGTAACTAATAACTAATTATTGAAATGTTTCGATTCAGTGCAACAATTAATTCTAACTCATATTCTAGTAGCCTCTACTAATCCACCACGTATTTCGATACATGTGTCGTAGCGCTTACGAATGTTTCTGATTACGTTCCTTAGTTTTTGAGGGCTAATATCTGCACATACCATGAATATTTTTTCATGAAATTTTGGTCACACCAGTTTAGAGGCACTCTGAATCCAGTGGCGTAGTGATTTTTTCAATAAAAAAATCGCTAATAAAAAATCCCGATTTTCGACTAAGAAAAAATATCGTACTATGCCCTGAAACTTTAATAAACATTTCAAATTGTGTCCCAAGGTAGACCTTTCAGTACTTGACATTTCAAAAAAAATTATTAAAATCGGTTTACAACTTCAAATTTTAGGGGGGTGTTTTCATTAAAAATGGGTCACACTGTATAATTATATACAGTGTGACACTCTTAAGAGGAGACACCCCTGTATTTTAGTCAATTTTGAAAGCAGAGATTTGATTTTTGGTATAGGTATAGACCTTCATGGGTCGCACTTTTCCCAACACTTAGTCCGAGTGACAGTCTTCAACCCAGTCTACTGCGTTCCTGCGAAAAGGGCAAATTTTCGATGTTTTGCTTCGCGTTGGAGATACTGAAATAAGTTATTTGAAAAAGTTGCTTGGAAATCGATTTTGACCCTACATATACCGAATTGTTATGGTTTCTAAATAAGACGCTACAGAAATAATAAAATAGTCAAAATCAATGAAATAAATGTATTAAAATAAGTGATATCATTTTATGTAACTTATTCGAATTTAGTCTCCAATTTTGAGGAATTTTTCAATTTCCTGTTGAATATGATTGGTTGCGAATTTGACTAATTTTGGATGGAAAATCGACATTCTCAATGTTTCAAAGCAGTCTCATATTTTGTGTTTCAACAGTTTTCAATTTGGGCTAGTGTCATTAGGGCTATTGCAAAAAGGGCGGCCCTTGAGGATTTGAGAAGTCGAGAGAAAAGTATCATTATAACAATTCATTTTGTTTGCAATGACCAGCTCACTCAAATAAATCACTCGATGTTGAATTGTCAATTCTTTATTGATAGAAATTAACTTTAAATGTTCAAGCCAGTCTCGAATATATCTACACAGTAGGTTGAATGGACTGACGTCTATCAGAAAACAACTACTCGACTGGCTAATACACGAAGGACGTTGGATTATATCCGACAGGCATCAGTGCAGGAATCTCTACAGAAAATTTCCTGCATATGCAATTGGCAGTACAACTGAAAGAGTCGACCTTCAGTTTTGAAACGGGCTCACTTGCAGACCGGTTTCGGGCTCATTAGCCACTTGTCAGTGCAAGATCGTGGCTATGTCATATATAATCCAACGCCGTTCGTGGTATTAGCCAGGGGAGTAGTTGTTTTCTGATAGGCGTCAGTCCACTCAACCTACTGTGTAGGTCTATAACCGAGACTGGCTTGAACATTGAGAGTTCCTTTCTTTAGATTTCTAGTTACTACGATTTTCAAATTCTACTATACATTTAATTTCAGGAAAAATCGATCTGGAGGAGCTCATCCGGGCCTTCAACGACCTTGGAATTCCTTTGGAGAGGGGAGAAGCGACGAATCTCTTACAGAGGTAGCTAAACACATTTGTACGTTTTTTTAATTTTTCAAATGAATATTCTTTTTTTTTATTGATCGAAGAATTCGCTTGGAATTTTTTGTTCCGTTTGACGTTCATTTATTCAAATTCTTGAGTTCGTGGATGAAATCCTGTCATTTTTTTATTACGTAATTAATGTTATTGCAGCAACCGTTTTTCTTTAATTATCTGTTGTGTCACATGCCTAATTATAATCATTTATATATTGCCGGTTGTTGGATGATTTCATTTCATCAAAATCGAATTCTTGATACATCTTTCAAAAGTAACCAAATCATTGTCGAAAATCGCCAGAATAACGTTGAAAGGTATACAATGTGGGCGTAGAAATGACCCCTCGTAACTTTCGAAAGGTCGGACAAAATTTACTAAAATATTATTTTTCGTACTTTATGGAAAGACAATATTATTATATCACCTGAAAGATATTGCGGTTGTGTATCGATACTTCAGATATCACGTATTTCCTCAAAAATATCTAGAGGCGTCATATCAGGTGATTTAGTTGGCTCTTTTAAGGGATCACGTTTGCCTGGCTACCGGTTTTGAAAATTGTCAAACCCGAATGATATGCGATGGAAACCTAATACTAGTTTTCAACTGGTATTAGGTTTCATAAAGGTGAGGTACCTATTTATTACGACAAGCTTCTTTGAAAGTGGCTGGATGACAATTACAACGCGATGCTTTAGAGTAACACGCTGCATTGCCTGATTGACACCCTTACATTTTTGTGAGGATTAGTGAAATCTGAAGTTTACGTTAGCCAACCACAGTTCACTCCAGAACTCTTGGTTAGAATAAGATGCTGCTAACGAAGTTATCCGGGAACATTCCATAATGAATTTGTAAATGAACTTCTTTATTATCAGGAAGTGACCAATTTAAACATTTACTGGCATGAACTGAAGTGAGTTTAGAGTTTTTCTTGAAACTATCATTTTCATCGTTTGTTTGTAAATTATTGAAACTAATATGAAACTTCAAATTACCGAGGAAAGACTTCAAAAAAAAGTTGGGTACAGAAGTGAAATACATATCAAACGAGTTATCACAAAATTTTTTCAAGGTAAGACAAGTTGAACAATCATGCAACCCCTTTCTATTCGAAAAAAAAACTGGTGTCGCCCTCTTGACGACGAGTGAGGCAATACTATTGCATTTTATATCAAAAATAACTGAAACTTGTACTTTGAAAACGAAGAAATTTATTACGTGGTAGAAGATTATAATGAAAAATGAGAATTGAACCTTTCTATGTTTTTATATCACTTTGTATTTGTAACTAACGTTAGTGCACTTTCATCCTACAATGACATTTTTAAACGAATACAATAAACGCCCTTCGTGGTATTAGCCAGGGGAGTATATAGTTGTTTTCTGATGGATATTAGTCCATGAACCTGCTGTGTAGTTAAGGGAAGACTGGCTGGAACGAATAATTCATTTAGATGATTTGATTTATAGTCAGTCTTCAAATATGCTCACTTATAGGTGAAATTTATTTCCTTTTACGAGGATTTGGGCCATTCGGATATGCGGTTGGTAAGTACCTCGTCTACGGGCAGAGAGAGTATAACAGATACGTTGCTTGTTGTTCATGTTGCTTGTTCGAGGTATGATACTCTGAAAGAATTTAATTTTTAATTATGGAAAATCGTCGACTTCATGTTGATGAAGGACACTACCTTGCACTGACAAGAGGTCAAATAGCCCGAAACCGGTCTACAAGTGTGTCCGTTCCTATAATTGCAAATTGATTCCAGCAGTTGTATCGCCAACAGCATATGGAGGACACATATAATCCAACGTCCTTCGTGGTATTAGCAAGGGGAGTAGTTGTTTTCTGATAGTGTCAGTCCATGGACCTACTTTATAGGTAAGTGAAACCTGGCCTGAACGAATTGTTCCTTTAGATGATTTGGCCTTTGACAAAGTTAATCATGAGCTATTGATCCATAAACTCTGTTTAAATGGTGTTGTAGGCAAATATTGCAGTGGCTCTAGAGCTATCTTACGGAAAGAACGCAAATTACATCAGATGTTCCACAAGGTTCCCAATTGGGACCACTGTTGTTTAACCATTTTATCAACGATCTAATCAGCTGTTTCCATGAAAGTGAAGATTTGCTATTTGCCGACGGTTTGAAATGTTTTAATAATTGAAAGTGAAGCAAAATGGTATGTGTTTGAATGCATCCAAATGCCAAATTCTTCGCTTTCATCGAACAAATCATCCAATTACTTTCGAATATAGTATAAATAATCGGAGCTTACATTTTGCTATTGAAACCAAAGATCTAGGTGTGATGCTAGACTCCACACTTAGCTATAAATCTCACATTTTCGCTATAATTCAAAAATCTATGAAGATGCTTGGCTTTATAAAGAGAACCATTCGTGATTTCACCAACATCACTGCTATTAAATCTCTTTATTTTTCCCTGGTTAGCCCTTGGAATTTTAATAGGGAATAGGGAGCGAGTCGCACATTGTTAGAAAGATCTTGGAATTCTTTAAACAATGGTGTACATTTTTTTAAATTTGGACGTATTTTAAAGAGTTCTTTCCGATAATTAACTTTTTCAATATTGTTAATAGCAACAAATTGTTGTACGCCACTCCTTCATTTGTTTCATTCAACATGGGAAGAATGTGTCGCGACAGTATGTTTTCGATTTAATTCCAAAATTTCGCGCAACTGGATCTGTAGCAAATAAAACACTGCAAATTAAACAACCAGTAACAAATGAGGCGACACAAGTGCCAATTCTGGGCCATGTTGAGATTGACCATACTTTGACCACAAGAAAATTAGCATTTGTTTCCGGGGTGTCACGAACTAGCATTCGGCATATTTTGAAAACCCACAAAAAGCATCCTTACAAGATTAAATTAACGCAAGAACTGAATGAAGATGATTTCGATCGACGCTTGCAATTTTGCGAGTTGGTTAGTGAACGAGCGGTGGAAAATCCGCATTTCGTTTTCAACATTTGCTTCAGTGATGAATGTTCTAAATGGCACAGTTAATCGTCATAATTGTCGCTGTTCAAATCAATTCAATTCATTTATTTAACCACATTATATGTATACATTCATTTGTAGCAAGTCACAATATAAGTACTTGAAGAAAAATATAATTAACAATAACTTACATAATATGATTAACACATAATTAACACATATCACGAGCACCATAATTGTGCATGTCATCGACATTATCACATGTATATAAAACAAAATCAATAAATACATCGTGATTGTGCACGTCAACTGATCAAAAATTAAAATGAACATGTCAGAACGGAACTGCCTGAAATCTAAAATGGTTAGTGCTATACCTGAGAATCACTTATAGCATAGTTTAAAAATTCGTCGACCGAGTAGTGATTGGTATTCACTAGGTGATTTTTTACAATATTTTTGAAAGACAGAAAATTCATTCATCATATTGGGCTGATTCAAATCCTCACATTTTTCATGAAGTTCGTACTCAACGTCCACAAAAATTAAATGTATGACCTGGAATTTTTGGTGACCGTATTGTTGGCCCATTTTTTTAGAAGGCAATTTAACCGGACAAATGTGTCTGGAGCTTCTGAAAGATACTATTAATCCCCTTCTCACTGATATTATTGAAAATGACCACAATTATCGGGAGGATCTGTTAATATTTCAACAAGATGGGGCTCCTTCGCACTATGCTCTGCCTGTTCGGCAGTATTTAGATCAGACTTTTCTGGATCACTGGGAGGCGGTGCATCACTCCTGCATCACTCGAAGATTTACGGCAACGAATCACTGTTTAAACATTTGTTTAAAATATGTTTTTCCGTTAATCAGCTGTCGCCCCCATACGAACGACAACTCTCAGAAGTTGAGTAACTTGTGCGAGTTAAGGACTAACGAGGTCTTACCTTTTAACGTGTGATTCTTAACACGGTTGTAGATTCATCCCCGCTTCAACCAGATAAATTCTCTCAAGAAAAATATCTGGTCGATGCGGGAATCGAACCCAATCGTGAGTCGGGCGCCCTACCACCGCGGCCAATTCCACAACAGAAATACTCCACAATGTTCGAGAACGTTTCCAGCAAAATCTCTATTATTGCATGGAAGCTGGAGGAGCTCCCAATAAAAATCGACCTGTTTTTTAGGATTTGCAAGATTAGTACCCAAAACCTCCATGTCAAGTTTTCGATGGCCCACCCTGTATATCAGTTTTCCGCTTCAAAAACCATATTCTTCACCCAGCCATCTAATACTCTCTGCTTGTGTTGTTGTATTGTCTCTATCTTACTTGCCTGTAAGAATTATATTAGTTCATATTGTTATACATTTTAATTTTTCTTAAATAATCTATTTGTTATCTTTCTTGGAAATTGTATTATTCTTATAATTTACTTTTAATACACTGTGCTGCATCAAATACTTCATAGCAATGTACTACTTGTATCTGAATTGGGCTTGCCCGTGTATATACATAAATAAATAAAAAAATTCATTTGGATCGTGTGTTACTTGGATACTTTTGATGTGTGTATCTTGCTATGTAATCAGAAAATTGACAGTTGTCAAAGTCACCGATCTTTAATGTGTCTAACTTCAAGTAATCGAAAAAGTTTTCGAATAACTGTGACTAACTATCTAAAGTTCAAAACTAGGATGCAACGTGTGAAAAAATATTCATTGCGTATTATGTTAAGTGAGTGATGGTGTGGTTTTCACGGTGTAGTGAAAAAATAGAATCCCGTGGTCAGTTTATAAACACTTGGTGACTCTAAAGTTAACATGTATTTGCAGAAATGTCATTGCGAGATGGATGGTTGTTCATTCATCGATGAAATACAAAAAGGACTATACATTGTAAGTTCCACAACAATGTTTCTATTCAACAACAGATGCATTTTTAATTTCTGTGAAACACAACCAACGAAAATTTTTCTGGAAAAATAATTTGTAGGGGAGTGAGGGGCTTGTAACAATTTTCAG